AAATGTTTGAATAGAGAGATTGATGAAGGGTAACCTGAAATTCAAAACAAAATAATTGTGGAATAGGTATTTTCCGACTGGAATTCGATGTTTGAACATTAAAAATAAAAATAAAAACCTTCAATTGTTTTTACAAGCGCATAAATGTTGTCTTATTCATACTAATGCTGTCCAGTAATGCTAACTGCAAACAGTGTGATAAAAATGTTAATAAATGCACTATATTATTTGTGTATTGTCTCTATTGACCTTCAGGATGGTGCAATGACTTGAGTGTTAGCGCAAACGAAAGTATATTTTCTCTTTTGTTTGACGAGTGACGCATCAGAATGCCCGAAATTGTTAGTGAATGCTGAGTAAAATGCAAAAGTCTTTAATGAATCTGATTTGCGTGCAAATGATGGTTTTTTGTCTCTAATAATTGTAATTTCACGCAATTGTTCACCTTTTAACGCAAATGAATCCGTATTTTCTCGTAATGAACTGCAAAAGGTATATTTATGCATGGTCATTTGAATGGAGTGCCTCAAACTTGGAATTTATAGTGCTTTGAGATCACGTTGAATATCCAACCCTTGGAAAGTTGTCGTCTAATAATGATAAAAATTCGTTACGAGGGATTGGTTCTTGTTTAACAACCCTCGCCGCTTGCCTTTGGACTTCCTTTTCCTTTGTCACTTGTTTTGCGATCTTTTTGAACAATTAGGAAAAATTTTCTGTTTTCTTTTTCGGCATTAACCAAAGACTGAGGCTATTTTTTTTTTATTTTGCACTGTTGTTTTGCGTGTATGTCTTTGTCCCCATTCTCGTAATGTAAGATTGTAAGTGAACTGTCATTAAGTATATTTCTAGAAATTTGTGAAATGGCAAAAATCGATTCTCTTTTTGGATGCCTTTGGGCGATATTTGCGGGGCATTTTTGTCGTTGTTGTTGTCGTAACGCTGAAGGGTTGACACCATCTTAAAATTTTCTCCTGATCAGCAAACCTTCCACTATGACTCAGAGTTGTCGACTAACAAAATGGATTTCAATAATCCCAGAGGAAGGACTAGCTTTGATTTACACGAAACCCAGTTACCAACTTACTGGAATACTCCTTTTTCCAAGATCTGCCTTGGCATGGGGAACGATGACCAGTTAAATTTTATCGTTATTATAACGAGCGCCGATTCTTTGTACGCACTGATCGCTGACGGGAAATACCTCCCCACGTCAATTGCAAGCAAACAGCAAGCAAGCAAACTTTATTTACACAGGGTAGCCCATTCAGCTCTAAGGCTGGTATCCATAGGGGCCCTGTATTGAAAATAATTTACATCAAATTTCTAGAATAGATATATATGTATATATAATGACTAAGATTTTACAACTACATTAACAGCCTAAAACTACAAAGCTAAAACACAATTAAAACATAACATAGTAAATAAAATATCAAAATTATCAAAATTACGGTAAAAGGAAATGTTTTGCTCGGCGACAGAACGTTTGAATGTTTTCACTCTTCACAATGTTTAAAGGAAGTTTATTAAAAATTTCTGCGCCAGTAAAAAGAAAGGTCCTTCTCCCAAAATTCTGTTTTACTTTTGGTAGGGATAGCCTCAGACTTTGCCTCGTGGAATAATTGTGAATATTCGAAAATCTGGTAAAATATGATGAAAAGTAACTAGGAACTAATGAGTGGAGACAGAGAAAAACGAGTTTAGCCTTGTGGTAATAGCGTCTACTGGAAAGAGTCGGCCATTGCAGCTGATCTATTGCTTCAGATGACCGAGAGCAACGTGTAATAATCCGTGCAGATCTATTTTGTAAGCGCTGTAGTCGATCTATATCTTGTTGTAAAAGGTTACTCCAGGCAATGTCACAGTAATCAAATAAGGGAAGAATTAAGGTATTATGAACAAGTATTGCTGCCTCTTTTGTGACGAAACTTCTAATGCGGCCCAGAATACTAACTCTTGACGCCACCTTTTTACACATATAGTCTGCGTGAGCCTTCCAAGTCATAAAATTGTCGAACACCACGCCTAGGTATTTAAAAGTAGTTTCGCAAGAAATGAGCTTTCCGATAAGATTAAGATTTAAAATACAATCGCGCTCTTTATGCCTTCGAGATGTAAATAGTACACACTTAGTTTTTGAAACATTGAGAACAAGATTGTTGTCTTCTAGCCATTCAGATAGACATTGAAGATCTTGATTAAAGTAAAAAGTTAAATTGTCTACTGTTGGGCCAGCAAGATATAAAACTGTGTCGTCAGCGTACATATTTACAGAACAGTGTTTGACACAACGTGGTAAATCATTAATGTAGACAATGAATAACAGGGGTCCGAGGATGGACCCTTGTGGCACTCCAGAAGTTATAGCAAGCTCTTCAGATGAATGAGAATCAATTTGCACGAACTGCTTTCTTCCCGTAAAGTAGTCCTTAAACCATAGAAGGCTTTCCTCGCATATACCATAGTACTCTAATTTTCTGAGCAAAATGTCATGGTCAACTGTGTCGAAAGCCTTTGCCAGGTCAATAAACACAGAACCAGTAACAAGGCCCTTATCCATATTCAGGAGAATCTCGTCGGCGAAATAAGTTACAGCCGTCTCAGTTGAGTGCATTCTTCTAAAACCGGACTGTAATTTACAGAGCAAGTTATGATCATCAAAAAAACTTGCAAGCTGCTTGTGGATTAAACGCTCTAGGACTTTAGATACCACTGGTAATACCGATATGGGGCGGTAGTTTCTTGGGTCATCTTTTGAACCTGATTTATGTAAAGGGGTCACCTTCGCTTTTTTCCATTCTGCAGG